TTCGATCTTCGTATCTGTCAATTTGCGCTTTATTCACCCAATAGTCAATAGTGATCACCATCCGGGGAGGGGCACGCCTCGTTTTGGAGCAAGGGTACACCTGCGAAGGGGGTTATCCTTCCTTGGAGATGTAGGATGTGATGAGTGCCTCCGAGGACGCCCCCCCCCCCNGAGCAAGGGTACACCTGCGAAGGGGGTTATCCTTCCTTGGAGATGTAGGATGTGATGAGTGCCTCCGAGGACCCCCCCCCCCCCGCCGGCGGGAACGCTCGGTGGTACGACGACGACCACCACCACCGCTGCCGCCATCACCTCCACCAAAAAACCACGAGGTGAGAGTACACCCATCAATAGGAAGGTGAAGACGGCCGAAATTACAAGGCGGGCGGAAGCATGAATCAACCATTGCCATGCCTGCGTATGTTCAAATGAAGGCGGATGAACGTCCACCTACAATTCATCCCAGGTGGGGTGTGGAAATTCCCGTTACACGTATTATCAGAGGCAGCCCAGTATTGGCAGATGCGAAGCCATGAGACCCTTCGTGTGTCGTGTAGTGTTCATATGCTTAGACAGATAGACCCCATCGATATAATATACAGCAATGAGCGGGGCCAAGACCACAAGCGATGCAACATTGCTGTGACTTGTTTGGGGTGCTCGGCAGAGTATACTGTCTACAGGGCCTCCGGGGGGTACGCGGATGGAATGTATTGACGGACATGCTGCATGGCGATGGTGTGGCCTACCGCATGTCTCTTACTCTCTAAGCAACAAGGTTTTGAGTCAACCTTCTTTCTCTTTCGGCCTCTGACGAGCTACCGCACCCAAACACAATATATTGTGGCCTGGTGTTGGCAGTGGGTATTGGCGTCTGAGCGGTGGGAGCTGGGCCATCGGGGCAGCGGACACCATTTTCATAGCTGGGATCGCGGCCAAAGGAGGCGAGGACAGCAGTGCATAGCTGGTGCGGTGGCCATTGCGGGGACCGGGACAGCAGGGTTTATAGCTGGGACAGTACTTCGAGGCTGGGACAGCAGGGAGGGTTTAGAGTTTTTTTTTATTATGTCTGGAACTGAGGAGGACGCAACTCTGAGCGCGAGGTTGGATGAGGCGCTACGAGCTATAGAGGAGGCCACGGCTGAGACGAAGGAGGCCAAAGCTGAGACGGAGGAGCTTAGGGCAGCACAGCGGCGGTCTGCGGGTGCACCTGCCTGCAGCAGCTCAGGAGGCGACGGTCTAGTTGCTCCTGGAGGGGTTTCATCTGCACCGGTGAGGCCAATGTGGCCAGGCGGGGTGAGTCATGATGGCGGCACTGGGGTGCCGGGTTTGCCTCTTGGAGGTACAATTGTCAGAACTCCTGTGCCTAGAATCCCGCTTAATTGCACCGCCGACACCTTTCTCAGTTGGCGGAGACGCTTTCTGGCCTACGTGGACAACCACAATCTCCAGCACACAATCTTCGGCAGTGCTGAGGTTCCCGTTGTCAGTTGTAAGGATGAAGGATACTTGACACGCCAGTATGGTGCACAGCTGGTTGTTGAGCACAAGAGGACATGGAGTTTTATCTTGGAGGCAGCGGTGGGGGCCCCATTTGAGAACAACCTGTACTCTTGCCATTCCGTGGCAGAGGCGTGGAGGATGATGGAGGATTGGTTTTTGCCGAACCACCCAGCTGATTGTCAGCTCCTCGTCGCCGAGCTAGATAATATAACCATGAGTGATGATGAGGACCCCAAGCTTTTCTTCTCGCGCGTCGCACAACTGGAGACCAAGTTACGGGCTGTGGGCATTGCTAAGAGTGACCAGGAAGTTGTGCAGATCCTTGTGCGCCAACTCCCCGCACGCTACGATGTCGAGAAGCGCACNGATGAGGACCCCAATCTTTTCTTCTCGCGCGTCGCACAACCGGAGACCAAGTTACGGGCTGTGGGCATTGCTAAGAGTGACCAGGAAGTTGTGCAGATCCTTGTGCGCCAACTCCCCGCACGCTACGATGTCGAGAAGCGCACCAGTCTTTCCAACCGTGATTTAACCCGCGCTGAGTTGCAGGACGTCGTGCGTGGTCGATATACCACGCTCAAGGCCAGCGAGATGAGGGAGCGAGGGTCGGCAGCTTCGACGCCGGCGGTTTCTGNTGTGGGCCGTGGTTTTGGACACGGCGGCAACGGGGGGAGCGGGGGGGGCGGAGGCCAACGGCGGAATGGCAACAACGGCGACGGCCGCGGGCAACACTGGTCCTCTGGGAGCGGTGTTGTCCAACAGCAACAGTCGCAGGTGCAGGTGCAGCAGTACCGGCAGCCGCAACAGCCACAGCGGCAGATGCAACAGCCGAACCAACAGCCGCAGCGGCAGATGCAAAAGTCGTACCCACAGCCGCAGCAGCAGATGCGACAGCAACAGCCGTACCAACAGCAGTCGCAGATGCAGCCGTACCGGCAGTCGCAGCAGCAGCCGCAGCAGCAGCGGCAGCAGCAACAGCCCGCTTTGAACGGTGTTGGTGGCATCTACGATTGCGGTAGTAATGCCGTGTATCATCAGCCGGAATCACTACCTCCACCTGGCGCGCCGATGGGCACAGTGCACAGATGCGGCCGCTGTGAAAGGCACGGTCACCACGCCATAGATTGCGCCGCCCCCCGCAGGTTCGAGGGCACGTGCGGTGCATGCGGCCAGTACGGTCACATGTGGCGCAACTGTGCCAAGAGCAACCGGCACCCCCACCTCAACGTCGTCACTTCTGCTGGTGCCCTCGGTCCGGAGTACGCGTACACCGCCGCGGATACATCGGCCGTCCAATTTCGTGATGTCCCGGCGGCCGATGGCGTATACTACAGTGACACCATGCTGGCCGGCGCTGGTGGCGGCGGCAACGGTGGTGGTGGTGCTGGCGGTGGTGGCAGCGGCGGTGACAATGGCGGTGGTGGCGGTGGAGCGATCGTACAGCAGCAGGTAGTGACACCGGGCGAGCCCTACTTTGGTTTTGTCGACATTTTCCACGGCAGCGGTGGCGTGGAAGGTGAAAATGGCGGCGGCAGCGGTGGTAGTGACGCGGCGGGAGCGGACCCTGAGGCGCTTGGCAATGGCGAGGGTACCTTCGGTGGCCGTCTCTTCGCGATGCACCTTGTCTGTTCCGTTACCTCATCCCCCCCCGTGCGCGAACCATCCGACCTTTTCCCACATCGCCCGGGTTCGACGGTCTTCCTTGGAGACACCGGCGCCGTAGTCCACGTGGTCCCTTCTGGGGAAAAGGTGTACAACAGGCGCCCGCCGCTCCCGGAGGAGCGACTACTCATGCTTGGNGTGGCGGTCTCTTCGCGATGCACCTTGTCTGTTCCGTTACCTCATCCCCCCCCGTGCGCGAACCATCCGACCTTTTCCCACATCGCCCGGGTTCGACGGTCTTCGTTGGAGACACCGGTGCCGTTGTCCACGTGGTCCCTTCTGGGGAAGAGGTGTACAACAGGCGCCTGCCGCTCCCGGAGGAGCGACTACTCATGCTTGGCGACGGTAAGCACATCCCGGTAGAGTTTTTCGGTGACTTGGATGTGATCTTCCACTGCCCTGAGGACGTGCGCGTCACCCTGCAGAATGTTGGTGTGGTACCGGGTTTGGCGCTAGATATTCTGCCGCTGAACATGATCCAGGATCGCCATGAGATCAAGCTTAACCGGGATAGAGCATCGATCTTGGGGGGGCGAGTGCGCATGACAAAATTCCCTCACGGGAATTACATCCAGGGGACTCGCGTTGATCCACTGCCTCAACGCGACTCACCTCCTCAGCCCCCCGCGATGGTTGCGGCGATGCTACGGCCTGGCACGCAATCCAGCATCGACTACAACGCTCTTCACTGCTCCCTCGGTCATGCCAATTCCAAGACGCTGTACGAGACTGCCAAGCAGATGGGTATCAAGGTGACCGGCACTCCGGAGTACTGCGATGGATGTGCGGAGTCGAAGGCGATTCAGCGCTCGGTCCCCAAGGTCATCTCCCCCTCCCGCCGGACGACGCGGCCTCTTGAGCGTGTCGCGATGGACCTAGCCGGTCCGTTCGGCCAATCCAGCGGGGGTGCCGAGTACGTGATGCAGATCCTGGACCACCATACCAACTACGGATGGATTTGCTTTCTGCGGGAGAAGAGCAGTACAAACGTGGTTGCGGCCTTTCGTGCGTGGTATGCCTCCATCAAATCGCTCTTGGCTACTCACGGGGGGCTGGCCTGTGTTCTGACCGACAACGGCGCGGAGTGGGTCAACGCGGAGTTTCAGGGGCTGCTGGCGGAGCTGAACATTACGCGGGAGCTCACGGCGGTCGACGGGCCCAAGAGCAACGGTCGTGTGGAGCGGAGGATTGCACTAGTGATGGAGGGGGGCAAGGCTGCGTTTCTGGAGTTCCCGAAGCTTTTCCCCGGAGTTATGTTCCCGANGAGCAACGGTCGTGTGGAGCGGAGGATTGCACTAGTGATGGAGGGGGGCAAGGCTGCGTTTCTGGAGTTCCCGAAGCTTTTCCCCGGTGTTATGTTCCCGATCAAGGCGCTGTCCTTCAGGGCCATCTGGCCCGAGGCCTTCGCGTGGATGAACGACTCTCTGAACATCGCAGCGGAGGTGAGCAAGGAAGAGAAGCGGTGCCCGGAAGTTGAGCGGTACGGCAGGAGGATCCGAGTGCTTCTGCCGTTCATGATGCCCGGCTTCCGTCACCGTCACCGCCCGTCCAAGATGCACAGCAAGGGGGAGCGGTGCTTCTATCTGAACTCAGGCCAGGATCATTCCTCTACGACGCACAAGATCATCACGCCGGCTGGGGTGCCCACCTACTCCGAACACTGCACCTTCGGCTTCAGCAGCCAGGGCTTTCGAGGAGATGGGCGTTCTTGGGGGTCGGNGTCCAAGATGCACAGCAAGGGGGAGCGGTGCTTCTATCTGAACTCAGGCCAGGATCATCCCTCTACGACACACAATATCATCACGCCGGCTGGGGTGCCCACCTATTCCGATCACTGCACCTTCGGCTTCAGCAACCAGGGCTTTCGAGGAGATGGGCGTTCTTGGGGGTCGGACGGGGGGATGGCCCCGCGGTGGCGGCCGGAGCGGCAGCATCGGCGGCAGCTCCAGCGGCGACGGCGGCGACCTCCGGTGGCAGTGTTCCCCCCGCGGCGGCGGCGGGGGGGATGGCCGGAGGCCCCGCGGTGGCGGCCGGAGCGGCAGCATCGGCGGCAGCTCCAGCGGCGACGGCGGCGACCTCCGGTGGCAGTTTTGTCCCCGCGGCGGCGGCAGGAGCGGCAGCATCGGCGGCAGCTCCGGCGACGACGGAGCAGCGACAGCATGAGCATATGACGGAGCCGGAGAGCAGGGTGGAGAGCGGAGCAGCGCGCAGCGCGGTGTTGGCGGAACTTGCGCGGATGGCGGGGGGGCCTTCGCGGGTGAGCACATCTGCGGCACCTGTTGCCACACCTGCCCCCGCGCACTCGGCGGCGATGGCATCGGATGGACTGTGGACGGAGATGGTGCATGAGGGCGGTACAGGCGGACGTCGTCGGCAGGGGCAGCGGGAGTTTGTAGCGACCCCCGCAGTGACGAGGTCGCGGGCGAAGCGAGATGGGCCGGGGCCGGGGATATTTGCTCTTCTAGCCACGGAGGACGAGATCAAGCGGTCTATCGCCGAGCTTCCTGCACCGGGCGTCGCTGAGCCAGCCCTGCCGACGGGGCTGGTGTGCGACCTGGAGACGCCTGAGACATACGGGGAGGCGCACGCGGGGCCCCACCACCACATCTGGACCAACGCCGAGCGCAAGGAGTTTTTCGGGCTCAATGCAGTGGGCACCTTCGAGGAGGTCGGGGGACGAACGTCATCTCCGCCAAGTGAGTGTATTCATGGAAGGGAGACGAGTTCGGGTATACTGTGCGTGCTAAGGCTAGGTTGGTAGCCCGTGGGATTGCGCAGCGTGAGGGTGTTGACGTCTTTGAGACTTTCTCCCCGTGTCCTTCCATCACGAGCATTCGATTGCTAGCCGCCATTGCCTGTGTGTTAGATTGGGACTTGTGCCATTTCGATGCCGAGCAAGCCTTTGTCCAATCAGAACTGGATGAGGTTGTGTTCATTCGTCTTCCCCCTGGGTGCGGTGCGCTTTCCGGTAAGGTCGTGCGGTTGAGACGGAGCCTATACGGTCTGAAGCAGGCGTCCCGCACATGGCATCATCACTTGATGCGTGGCATGAAGAGTCTTGGTTTCGAGCCTTGTGCCGCCGATGCGTGTGTGATGCGTCTGATCGAGAGCGGTGTAGTCACCATGGTGGTTGTGATCCACGTAGACGACATCTTCTCTATCGGGCTCAAGAGCAGGTGCGATCAGTTTGGTGTTGACCTCAACCGGTATGTGCCCATTTCCAACCTTGGGGAACTGCGCTGGTATGCGGGTTGCCGGTTTTCTCGTGACACGGTGTTGGGGACGGTGACTATTTCGCAACAGGCTGTAGTGGAGAAGATCGTTGCCAAGTTCGGTGTGACGACGGACAAAGAGACACCTATGGTCGTTGGGTTGAAGCTTGAGCAGTACGACCCCGACGAGCCCGATGTCGACGAGCCTTTCCGGTCGCTAGTGGGACACTTGATGTGGCTGGCGAATCAGACTCGCTCGGATATTCTCAACGCGGTACGTGCCGTTGCGAGGTATTCGCACGCGCCGGAGCGACTGCACTGGGAGGTGGCTTTGCATGTTTTGATGTATGTTAGATTCACGAGCGGGTACGGGATTACTTTTCAGAGGGGCACGGTGGGAGGAGACCACATGGAACTTTTTGTCAATTCAGACTTCACCAACAAGGCAACCGACCGGCGGTCTGTTTCTGGGGCACTAGTGATGTTCGCTGGTGCGTGTGTGATGTATCTGTGTAGGACGCAGAAGAGCGTCACCCTGTCTTCGACGGAAGCGGAGTACGTGGCGATGTCCGATGGGATGAAGGAGGCTATTTTTCTGCGGTATCTGTGGAAATTCATCTTTCCGGGCCGTGATGTGGGGTGCACGCCGGTGTGGGAAGACAACGTAGGCGCTATTCACTTGCCAAGTAACCCGGCTACTACTCCCAACTCGAAGCACATCGACATCCGCCACCATTTCATCCGTGAGCGTGTAGCACGGGGGGAGTTCAAGGTAGTCCACGTACGGTCGGACCTGCAACGCGCGGATTTCTTGACCAAACCGCTCCCCAAGGAGACTTTTTGCGCGCATCGTGACTTCGTGATGAATATTCGTTTATTTTGTTCTTTGTGTTGCAGTATTTCAGCGATGGGGCCTTTCTTGCATCATGTGTTTTTTTTGTGACCTGGTACTGGCCTTTGATCTGCTGTCACGAGTCGCTAGCACGCAGGGTAGAGGTCTCAAGTGTGTAAGCAGTAAGTACGTACAGCTCCCGTTCACGGCACGGGTTTTTGCGCGAGAAAGTGGATTATGGCTCCTGAAATGTATTCGCTCATGCAACGATGCACACACACTGACCATGGGCTACTGATCGACCAACTTCCACCAGGGCCAATCGGTTGGGATCTCTGCGACAACGATAGTAGTGAGGGTAATTCTTTTGGGAGTGACGAAGACGAAGGAAAGAAAAAGAGAAAAAAGGAGGACGAAGATGACGATGGAGCAGAAAAACATGGAGGAGTGGAAGAGAGCAAAGGGTTTGAGCCAGATGACCTTCTCTACAACAAGAAACGTAGGGCTAGGGAAGAACTGCCCAGATATTCTTCTTGTCAAAATGAGGATCAGAATGATGGGAGCGAAAACAAGGAGGGTACTGGTGAAAGTATTCCTAAACGAACTCGAGTACTAGGTAATAGCCTTTGTAGACGGGTGCAGTTTTCTTCTGTTGCTGCTGTTTCTGTTTTTGATCCGGAGGATAGCTTAGCCTCCCCCATGCTGTCCCCTCACGGGGTCCCAGTTCATGGTAGATAGAAGCGTTTTGTGTTTTCAACCGCACTAAGACTGACGTCTTTTCATTGGTCAGCCGGTTAGCGCGGTCGATGCTAATAATAAAAGACACACTGATCTCTCGTTGTGCAATCGAACGACTGTACCGAGTGCGATGAGTAGTGAAGATACTCGTACCAGCTGTAGTAGCCGATGTAGCGTCGGAGCAAAGGCCTCCTTGTGGATGTTATGGTCTTATTCTTTTAGTTCAAGCTCAGGGTGGTAGCTTGTTTGTGAGCAGAGGAGGGCGAGTCCGGACAGCTCTTGCAGAGGCTCCGCAGAATGCGGCCAACTACCTCTGTGGGCGTGTACTTGCGGGACAATGAATGCCTCGAACCGTAACATCCCCCCTAGTATATTATCAACTCATAATACACTAACGCCTCATCCTGTACTTGTAACCAATGCAATGGCAGAACCGCAGGATTCTCCATCAACCGATATGCCTCGAAATGGAACTATCCACCCGATACTTCACGCCGCCATCTCGTCTCTCTCTTTTCTCTGAGGGACAAACTTTCGTGAAGTTCGTTGGCATGGATCTCCATGCCAGTGGAATAGACCGACATACCGCCACTGGCTACAAGTGTTATCACAATCATAACAGCGATTGCGACCAAGTCCTCCAGGACCTACCTGTCCACGCATGCCCGCTTGCATACAATGAACACTTCAATCAACCATCGACTCGGTACCGCCTACCGAGTAGGAACAAATACATACAGTCCGCAAGTAAACCCATTCAACACGACTGAGCCTCAAGAAACCTCCTCCTCCGACAGCACCGCATTTTCCAAGGCCCCACAGTTTCCACTATCCCAATAAACCCACAAGGCGATTGCTCCCCCCCAACTTGACATCACGACACAAAAGAAACCACACGATACACGGGTAAATGTCCCCCCACCCCAACATGCACGAATCAGCAGCCACTGGTGCGGTGACGACGATCTTCAGTGAAGATAACGTTCCAGCTCCTGACGCGTCAACTCCTCCCAGTTCTGGTTACTGTAACGCACACGCCAGTAGCGGTCTCGGTAGTCAAACACTTGTCCTTGGAGCTTTTGCCCTCCGCCAAAGTCTGTCTGGAAAGTGAAACCTATTGGGTAGATTCGCAGGGCTTCACGGGCGAACAACGGTGCACGCGGTAGGGAGCGTGGGGTAAGTTGAGACGCCAATCCAGGATAGTACAGATGCCATAGTGCAATGAACCCGTCCAACTGCAAGCGTGTGAACGTACGGAGAAGCTCAGGTTCTAACAGCCACACGGACTCTACACCAGTCTGTGATATGGCTTTGTACTCCCACACCAAGGCACCGGTAGGTGAATGCACACGACGGCAGTCAGAGAGGGAGACGAACGTCCCTAGTTCAGGTTGCTCGACAGGTGCTGCAAAATCAGGGCCCCACGCAAACTGCATGAATTTCTCGGCGATAGAATGTCTCAAATGGGGTGGGCGAACATGAAAGAGTTTCAACTCGGCCGTGCAAACTCTCCGCGAACGCAGCTTTCNACGGAGAAGCTCAGGTTCTAACAGCCACACGGACTCTACACCAGTCTGTGATATGGCTTTGTACTCCCACACCAAGGCACCGGTAGGTGAATGCACACGACGGCAGTCAGAGAGGGAGACGAACGTCCCTAGTTCAGGTTGCTCGACAGGTGCTGCAAAATCAGGGCCCCACGCAAACTGCATGAATTTCTCGGCGATAGAATGTCTCAAATGGGGTGGGCGAACATGAAAGAGTTTCAACTCGGCCGTGCAAACTCTCCGCGAACGCAGCTTTCTACCCTGCATCTTCACTTGCACACTCAACTCCCTCTGCAAAACTTCTTCTACTGTCCAAGGGCCGGTGTAGAGGTCGTGCTGCAGCTTCCGGCCCCGCTTGTCTCGGTGACGACTGCTGTCGGCTTCGCGCACCATAACCAAGTTGCCTTTCTCTACCGTTACCGACGCCGTACTCCTCGAAATATTGGCGTTCGACTTGGCCCTTGCTGCTACCCGCAGGTCGTGGCGCTTCTCGAGCACCAATCGAACTTCCCGAAGGTTCTGCTTGCGCCGTTCAACGAAGTTGTCCAAACCTCCCGAAGGATCTTGGCTTCCCTCCTCTGAAAGCGGCACCAGCGAGTCCGACGAGGTGCGGGGTTTACGAACGAACAACAGTTCAAATGGGGTCATGTGCGGGTGAACGGAAATGTCGGGCAGCGTGCGCTTAATCCAGATGGCAGGCGATACATACTCATCCCAACGGTCGTTCCAGCATTTGCACAGCTCTGCCAACAGCTCTTGCATCCAGCCTCCTAGCCTCTCAACTGAGCCTTGCCCTTGGGCATGATCTGCTACTCCAAAAGCGATATCCGCCTGTAACCACCGGCACAGGTGAGTCACTACTTCTCCGCCGAACTCTTTACCGCCATCGCAACGAATGGTTTTGGGGACGCCGAAAGTTAAGCACAGTTCCAACAACGCCCCAGCTACTCCTATTGCTTCCTTGGTCGCAAGAGGGAAACCGAAAGGGAATTTGGATGCACGGTCTACCACAAGCAGGATGTTCTTGTTACCAGACAATGATGTCGTGTCAATTTTGAGTAGGTCAATCTCAAGTTCATCCCAAGGTTCCAATGGTCTCCCTGGCAGCATCGGTACGCGTCTACTAGTGGGCCTTTTGCGACGTCTGCAGCTACACGACAAAACGTACTGACGGACATCTCGTGCGAGTTTAGGCCAGTGAAAGTGATCCCGAATTAGTGCTAAGGTCGCTCCAACTCCTGGGTGTCCATGTAATGTGCGGACCAACGCTAGGATGTCGGCCACCATGCTTTTGGGGGTCGCTATTACCAGTTTTCCTTTCTCAAACTCGAACCGTAGCACTCCCTTATCATCCAAACTGTATCCTGCTTTACCACTCCCCCCTAGATCCTGCCGAACCTGGCCCAAAAGGGCATCGTCTTGCTGGCGCCGAATAAGCGTGTCCGGGTTCTTCAGCACTCGTAGCGCCCTGTGAATTGCCGTCGACCCTGTGTCTACCGCTGACCTAAAGGGCAACTCCCCCCCTGCTGAAAGCACCTCCTCCACGTCGGCGGACCTTGTGCACTCGGGCTGCACCGGCTCCGGTGGATGAGCCGGGGGTAGCTCGATGGGCTCAGGTGCGGACGCGCGTTGTAGCCTAGCTGATAACACCTGTGCCACGGTAGGCAGCTGAGGGTCGTTGAAGGGTTGCAGGCGTACTGAGGGCGTGCATCATCTGCCTGAGCGACGTGGTGGCACAAGTTCATCGAGCGAGGCACAGGCAGCGAACGGGAAGTCAGCCAATAGTGGTGCTATGACCGCGGGATCAATCTCACTATCGGCATTTACGGGTTCGGATTCGTCCGTGCTCGAGAGGTTCGCGAGACGCACACCATCAAGCACAGGGCCTGGCGGGCCCACAAAAGTAGCGGAATCCGGGGACGTGAAATCGTCAGGAAAAGAGTCGTCTACATCTACGGAGGGGCTACTGGCGACGGGGAGACGGGACAGAGCATCTGGCAACACGCGATGTACTCCTGCCTTCCATTCTAGTACTACGTCGTACTCCATGAGGCGAAGTGCCCGCCTATGCAACTTGGGACAAAGTTCTCTACTACGAAACAACCACGTAAGTGCAGAGCAATCCGTCACGACTTTGAACTATCTACCAGCTAGGTACGGCTTGAAATGATCAACGCCCCACAATACTCCCCTGCATTCCCGTTCCGTGGGTCCTCGTCGAGCGTCGGTGCGAGAGAACTTGTGGCTAGCGAAAGCGATGATCCTGGGTGTACCGTCGATGGTCTGCAGCAGGGTAGCACCTGCGCCCACTGAGCTAGCGTCTGAGTGCAGCTCACAAGGTGCATTAGGATCAGGAAAAGCTAACATCGTAGGGGAAGCCAGGCACTGTCTTAGATGGTGGAAGGCGTGTTCCTCCGCTTCCCCCCACTGAATTGAGAGCTTACGTGCGCGCTTTGACTCAAAGTCTTTATTGCGGAGGATGTCGGTCAGGGGAGCCGCAACTGAACTGTATTGAGAGACAAATTGTCGGAGATATCCCGTCAAGCCTAGAAACGTGCGCAGGTCTTCGACCGTTTGTGGTTGGGGCATGTTGGCAATCGCTTCGAGTTTCGACGGGGCTGGGTGCATGCCGGTAGCATCAATTATCATTCCGAAAAACTCTTGGGACGAAGCCCCGAAAATGCATTTCGGAAAGTTAACGGACAGTCCAGCAGCACGAAGGCGTGTTAGAACGAGCACCAATGCAGCGAGGTGTTTGTCCCATGTTTCGTTTGCGACGAGTATGTTGTCCAACCAGCTAAACACGCCATCGATAATTCTAAAGCAGACTTCACTCGACGCGTGAACGCGGAAGGTAGAACTGTTAGCCCGAAACCCGCACGGGTAAACTCGTACAACATGCCGTCTGCGTCACGGAAGGCTGTTTTATGGCGATCCTTTTCGGCAATTTCAATTTGATGAAAGCCCGACGCTAGATCGATCTGAGTGAAGTACTGCTTGCCTTTCAGTCCATCGAATATGGTTTGCATATCACCTAGCCCGCCACTGTCGGATACCAGAAGCTTGTTCAACACCCTCCAGTCAATACACAGTCGCATACCTCCATCTTTCTTCTTAACACACAAGCATTGAGCTGCCCAGGGTGACATGGAAGGCCGAATGATACCACGATCCAGCAACTGTTGGATCTCAGCCCTAATCATGCGTCTCTCCTCGGGTGAAAAACGGCGTTGTTTGGCTACGTGAGGTGTGCAAAACTCGTCAATCAAAGGAAGCTCCAACTCACTGCCACCGCATGCTGCCACTCTCTTAGGGTCGATCGGGAATAAACCTTCCTCAACGAACGTTGCCAGAACCTCGACAAACTCCTGCTTCTGTAGCGCTCCGAGCTGGCCCATGTTAGCGTCGGTCGCCCGTACAGTGGGTGGCGAGGTCGCGGAGGTCTCGTCGCTCGTGTCACGGGTGGGCACAACAACCGGGTCAGGGAGTGGAGGGTCAACAGTGGACGGGGTATCGTCGAACAAAGAGTCGAAACGGCCACGATCGCGGACATTGAGGGCGAGCATCCTGGCGCAAATACTACCGTTAGTGACCTCGACAACCTGGGCATCGCGGTTCACCAACTTGCAGTACACCGGTGTTCCCGGCGTCCACCACATCACTGCCCGTGCAATCCCCACTGTGGCTCCCTTCTCTAGGTCGAACCGTTCCGTGGGTAACACCATCACCAACTGCCTGTCCTGTGGCCGAGGGCCTATCGCTACAGTCTGCATCGCGATACTAGTGAACCCTGATGACATCCGCGAGCCCAGGACCAGGTCCCATTCCAGAGTGCTGTCATCCTCCCACGCGACGTCACGATAACTGGGCAGCTCGGGCAGCGGGGCAATGTCGGACAGGTTAGTGTCGCGTTGCGGGTCGCATGTCAAGAGAGCAAAGCGATCGCGTGCGGCTGAGAGCGGTGACGGTTGGGCAGGGTGGTCTACCGGGCTCGACAGAAACGGTACGAACGGCGCGTCAGGCGTGGGTTGAAAGCCTTTGCCTCCTGCAAAATCAAGCGTGCTCTTGTTGCGTCGAAGATATTCAGCTCCGATGATAATACCGTACGGGAGATCCGGCACTACTCTGGCCGTGACGAACCGTAATTGAGAGTCGTCTTGGAACATGATTGGGATCGTGACATGTCCTAGAATGCGCATCGGGGGCACGCCACTTTCCGACGGATTCGCTGCTTCCAACGCTCCCGCCGAACGTCTGTCCAACCTGCACCTCGCTAAGGTACGTACGCGAAACCACAGCTCCAATGAAATATAGTTGCCCCCGCCCGCCCCGGTATCAAGCAAAATCTCCACTGGGTACGACTTACGTCTACGCCCAACTCGTCCGATCTCACCACGTATCCACAACTGATCGCCGGCGCCGTGCTCCGCCCTCGCGGACCCAAGGTGCCCCGGGTTGGCGAGACCCGGGTCCTCGTTTCACATTTCGGCGTCACTCCGAGGTCCCAGCGGGATGTCCCCTGCCATCATCGCCACCTGATGCTCGCCCGACACGTGAAGCTCGAGGCCCATGGCGACGGCCGTGTCGTAATGGGCGGGCGTCAACGCGGCTACGACGCGGCGCGTGTGAGTAGCCCCACGGCTCGCCGGACATGGCACGTCTTGTAGAATGACGCTGGCAGTAGGTCGTGTCGCCACCTACAACGGCCTTGTCGACGGCAGGCCGAGAACACGTGGGCGTAGCAGATCCCATGTTCCATGAGGTGGTCGAGGATCACGGACCGGGGCGCAGTCACCGGCGGGTGTGTCACGGCGGTGGCCGCGGTGGCGGCCGTTGGTGGCGTTGTCGCTGGTGCGGCCGTCGATGACGGTGCTTTGGCGGTGAAAGGAACACCGTGCTGGCCGGGCGTGCTGGCCTTGTGGTTCTGGAACGCTGCCACGGCAACCGACGAAGGGGTCTCTGGGGCAGCAACGGGCGGCGCTACGGCGGCAACAGAGTTTAGCCCGGTGGGAGGCGGCGGCCGGAGGGGCACGCTGCCTCCCGACACGGTGAGTATTAACCTCGAGTTGTACGACGCCAAGCCATCTGCGGTGAACAGCTTTCAATATTCGGGCATCGACATGTGGCGAGGCGTAGGGTTAGCCGCACAGAGGCGATCCTGCCCGCCCGCGCGGTTCGGTTTGCGGGGCGTCGGCGGGGTCATGTATGGCTCGGAACGCGCGCTCAAAACGGCTACAGACTCGCGGAACAGGCCCTCAGCTACCTTGCCTCGGTGGCTCATGTGATCCCCCATGGGGTGGTGCGACTCTTGACGCCACTTCTGTAGGGTGGTGCTGACAGAATGTATGCGTTCATGTAGCAGCCCGTTGACCCCGGCTCTGTCAACCGGATTCGGCAGGAGTACCTCGGTGACGCGTTCGAACAAGGCTATCATCTGCACTGCCGAGATATACCGCCAGAAAAACCGCTGTTCAGTGATGTAAGCCGGTCAGGATCTACCAATGTGGCGCGAAAGGCTGCTAATACGCGGGCTGCGGCGGTGGGCATGGATTCGGGCGCACCAAGCACCATAGCCTGCAACGAGGCATTAGCGTACTCAACCGCACCCCCCGTCAAGGCATGTTCACGCACAATGAGACGCAGCCAGTCGGTAGCCGTTGCACTGTCGCGTGGGGTGTCTACTACTTCTCCTGTTTTGCGATACACTTGTACGGTGTCAGCCGAAGTGATTTGGTTGTGCGTCAACAGGTGTTCGTGTAGTAGATCGGTAAGCAACTCCCTGCGCCGAGTGTGAACGTCTGGTTGTGTTGCCCAATACCCGTTTAGAAATACGTCCGGTTCAAGCGCGATCACTCCAGAATCGAGAGTACGAAGGATGCTCATGACTTTTTGCTGAAGTCTTACTGCGCAATTGTTGATCGACAATTCCCCCGGGCCTGGCCCTGCGTACACTGGACCCGATACCTTGTCCGTAACTCTCTTACGGGCTCTCTCGATCACTTTCGACATCTGATTAGCTTCTGCACCGAAGGGCTTACCAAATGGACGTGGGAACTCGTGGGTAGGTGCTCGCGGCTCCTGGACCGGAGTTGGATACGCAGAACCCCGTCCGTTTAGAGCCGCTGGTGCAGCCCATGCCGCTCCTCGATGTACCTCGGCTGCTGGGGCGGCCCCTGTAGCGCCTTGGCGGTCTGCAGGTAGAAGGCACCGGGGAATGGACGGCGTGGTTCCAAGCCGCGCTCGTTGCCGGTGTCGCGGTGGCCGCGCGGGAGGCCACGCGACGGGGTGGACTCCGAGGAGTACACACGGCGCTGGCTCTGCCTGGGTGGCGGCGAGAGGGAGTGGTGCCGTGCATACGACCGCGAGGGAGAGCGGCGCCGTTTGCTCGAGCGCGAGGGAGAGCGACTCCTCCGGCGAGAGAGGCTGCGGGCGCGCGACGGAGAGCGATGCTTCGAGGGGGAGGGACTCTTACGGCGAGAATGGCTGCGGGCGCGCGAGGGAGGACGTGCCCACTTCGCCCCCCCCCTCCTGCTCCCTACCGCGAGGGCGTGGGGAGTGTGGAGAGCGTGCGTTCTTCGCCCTCCCCGACTGCTCCCGACTGCGAGAGCGCGAGCGCTCCTGGTTGCGGCGATCGGTGGAGCGAACGGGGGAAGACATCTGCGTAGCAAGAGGAAAAGAAAGGAGAAGAAAACGGGTAGACGCGAGGAACAAGTTAGGAGTGAAAACGAAAACGAAAGGTTGTGTCGATTTTGTCGATTTTGACATATGAGCGACAATGGTGTGGTGACAACCTTCAGACGTATCGCTTGGAAGGTAAAAACGAACGGAAACATGTTGCTACAAGACGCAGCTGACAAACGTGCAAAAATATGAAGTCTAAGTATCGGTGAGTGAAAATACGTGCAGCGCAGCAGGTGACAGCTTAAGGCTCTCAATCTGGTCAGGTAGCATTCGCAACGTTCGCCAACTGGAGGGAGAAGTGACGACGGACAAAGGACAAAAAAAAACGGAGGGATTAACGAAGGTCAGGGCAGTAACCAGCCACGGGATACGCGCACAGCAACCGGTTACCTACTGGAAACCCCTTCAACTTGGGACCGATCAAAAGTGACACCGAAAAAGGAGCGGTAAACGATAACAGTACGAAAGGAAAAGAATACTTCGAAGTACATATATGTCATTCAATTACAATAATAAGTGAAGGAAAAAAAGGAAGATAGGAAGAAAAAAACTAATAAAAATAATAAAGGATAGAAAAGAAAAAAGAGAAAAAAGAGAAAAAAATATCCGAAAAGAAGGAAAAAAAAAACATTGGTGACCACCGTTGGAAAATATTACTAAATAATGATGGAAATAATAATAATAACCCTACCCCGAACGGACAAGCCCCCCCGAAAAACACGCGCAAGGCGCCACGGACGCCACGATATTTTTTTGAAGAGCCTGCTGTTGACAAAAACAAAAAACACATGGAACGCATGCCCTAGCAACTGCAGCAGCAGCAGCAAGGGCGAAAACCTATTCCTATTTTCCCCTACCCCGAATAGGCAAGCCCCCCCGAAAAACACGCGCAAGGCGCCACGGACGCCACGCTCCAGCTGCCTCAACAGCAAGGTAGACTACGGGTTCTCGCTCATTTGCGCGGCTACAGCAGCAGTGGCAGCGCTCGCGGGGGATAGGGGTCATCGGGAGAGTGTCGTGGCAGCGGCGGAACGAGCAACGAGGTTCGTCGAGGTGGTCGGCTGACGTCGGAGCTCGAGAGGCACGCGTGCTCGTCGGACGACGCTTGCACCAAACGGGGGCCAGGTTTGTGTTATTTATGGTCCGGTTTTCGTGTCGTCGCCAGACATGGACGGCCGAGGACGTCGTCAACAACGACGGCCACCCGGTCGATCACCGGATGACGATACCGGCGCTTCCCAGCGTCAGCAACGGCGCCGCTCCGTTCGCATCGCCGTGAACACAGCGAGCGAGTCGGGACAGAGAGGAACGTGGGACACCACCAGAGGGACACCCCGTACAGAGGAAAGGAACAACCGCACGTCGTCGGGGCAGGACGCGCGCGCCCACGCTCCATCGGTTGGGGCCCCACGACGTTTGCCGGGCTCTCGGTCGCAGGGACGCGGCATCGCAATGACTATGCCGGCTTGGCTGGTCGCACGGGGACTAGGCGGTACCAGTACCAATAGCCAGTTCGGCGGGCTGCAGCGGCACGCCGTATTCGCGTCAAGCGGAAGCGTGAGGAACGGCAGCGGGCGGCGAGGTGGCGAGGCGGGGGCGAACAGCCCCTCCTGTTTGCGGGGCTTGGTTATGGCACCCGCCGAG